TTTCCTAGCCAATGAAGCACTATCAGGTCAGTCCCTTGTCATATGTGGTGCCAATCATGGGGGGAGTGTGTTTCTGCGATACAACAATTTAGTATATAGTTTTATAACATTCTGTTGCAAACTTACTAAATTTACATTCATGATGTTCATTCCGAGGGGATGGATGTTGAGCATTCAGTTACATTACCTTCTACTTCACTATGGATCCAGTGTATTTGGATCAGTGGATGCGATGAAGGCACAGAATGGAATACTGCTTGAGGGACAGTGGCTTTCTTACATTCATTGAGATGTCTGTAGCCATTTGAATCTAAGGTCAATAATAATAATAATAATAATAATAATAATAATAATAATAATAATAATAATATAATATAATAATAATAATAATAATAATAATAATAATAAAATACTGTATTTATATAATGTACAACGATTTGAAGATATAACAATATATAATATATGTGTATATGATTGCCCTTGCCCTTGCCTTACATGTATATGTTTTACTGTGAACTCACTGTCAATTTGTATACTGCATAGTTCTATAGCAGGGTCCATAGCGTTGGAAAATCCTTTGAAAGTCTTTGAATTTTTTGAGGTCTGGAGAGTCCTTTGAGTTGTCTTTAAATTACAGGGAAAATTAAAAAATCTTTGAATAGTATTTAAATTTCTTCATAGTTATTAATTCATCTCAGAAAGGCCCGTTTTCTCCAGGGAAGTACCATATCCTCAGAACTTTTATGAGCTTTGGTGATGATGTTGGCCTGAATTAAAGGGTCAAAATGTCTTGGAAAAATGCAAGAAAGTTTGGGAAAAGGTCTGGAAAAGTCTTAGAAATCATTTGGCTCTTGCTTGGCTATGGACCCTATGTATTGGGAGCAGTGTGCTCTCTACGCCAAGATGATGTGCCACTGACACACAAAGATTTACTGTGATGCAATTTGTTATGCTAATTTTAATACTGGCATGTAATTGACACAATAGGAAATCATACATTGATACAGTGATTTTGAACAAACATTCTACTATAGTTAATCGGTAAAATGAAATTCACATTTTATAAACAAAATAATGTAGGACCACAACACATTTTTTGTGCCTCAAGTTATTTATACACTCACATACATTATAATTTTTTTTCTTGAAGACTGACCTTCCTGGTAATCAAAAAGCTGACTCAACTTTATTTTGGGGATTCCATTTTGATTTTGATTACCACAAAATCAGTCCTTTTATTGGGAGGATTGGGAGTTTGCAGGAGAAAGCCAACACTGGCGAGGTCTTTGCGTACTGCCTCACATTTATCACAATTATAAAACATTATTTAAGTGTGAGCTTGCTACATATGTGCGCAAGAAAAAATGAACTCCTTATATGTACGTACATGTATTAGAGGTTCTCACTTCAAGTACACAACAGGAAATAACTACCTGCTATATGTAGCTTAGTGATTCTCAGAGTACAGAGATCAAAGCATTTTTGTCATGAGACAATCTACCGGTAATTGGAATATATATATTTCGATCCTTGGATTTGAAGTAACCTGGTAAACATGGAAAAATTGCCATACAGATCATTGGTTTTTGCTCCCTCATTATGGGAGATCAGATGAAAAGTTAAGTAAATCGTGATTTCAGGTATCTAATATTTTTTTCTCTCCACTTACTGTTCGCAGAAAGCATGTGACATGGCATTGGATGCAGTTGCTATGTTACCTGATTCGGATTTCAGCACTGTCAAGTCACTGGGCCATGAAGATTCAAAGTCAAATAGTTTACAATTTGTTTGTTGTGCATCAATGTATGTGTTACAGTATTGTATAAAACTTATCCTCATGTGTTTTAAGGTAAACAAGCTGGTAATCTTATCTACTGTAAGAGACTTTATTTTCACTTGGAATTTATTTTCACTGTTTTTGCTGGAGGAATGATTCAGTGAAAATAAAATCCAGCGAATGTACTTTTTTTCCTATACTTTACATTCAACTCGTCAAAAATCAGTGAAAATTTAATTCCATACAAAACACCCAAAAAGTCTTTTCAGCGAAAATTTATTCCAGCTAAAATAAAGTATTTTACAGTATTCTCTTACTCTACTATGATTTATGACCCGTCAACCCATAATGAGGCAAAAGCACACTTTGTGCAACATTATTTGCAAGGTGTTTAATAAACTATCGGGCAGCAGCCATGTACTAGATGGAATGCTTTGATCAAGAATGCTGAGCAGACGATGATGTCCTTACAAAATTGTCTGATTTCAATATTGAAATCCCTTGTTATTGGCGTTATTATTTTATTTTATGTTGATTTTAGTATTAAACACTTGTTATCTCATAATTCCTATTATTTTTATAAATTTAAATTCTACTCTAATTTCCACAGAAAATATTCAACAGTGGTGGGATGAACGAGATAGCCTTAGGTCACATGTTAGTCATGATGCAATATGATTGGCCGAAAGAAGAGAAAACCTTTCGTCAAGTGATTGATGTGATTATGCAGCAAGGGACTTTTACTTACACAATGTTTTTCAAGTATGTTATCAGTATCCTTACATTATACCAATCAGAAGCCCACATTTTTAGTCCCCGTTCGAACACAGTCCAAAAACGGGGACTTATGTTTTGACTTCCGTGTGTCCGGAACTGTATCTTAGAAATGCCTGGACCAATCACGATTAAACTTCACAAATACATCATACATTACATTATACATATGTGCATCAATTTGTTTCACGATCTGATTCAAGATGGCTGAATGGCAGCCATTTATGTACTGAAAATCATCAAAATTAAGCATTTCTTGGCTGTTTAAGATGGATTTTGTTCAAACTTGGTATATACATTGGACATTATAGGACCTTGAGGCACATTATTTTGTTTTTCAGATAAGATTCAAAATGGCCGACTGGCTTTGACTGATTATGTTCAAATTTTAAATATTCATTATACATCATGTCGTAGATATACAGATATATTGGTTTGACGATCCTATTAAAAATGGCCGAATGGTGGCCATTTTTGTGTTAAAAAATCATCAAATATCAAGCATTTCTGGCATTTATAGATGGATTTCGTTCAAACTTGGTACATACGTTAAACATTATGGGTTCCTGATGCAATCATTTTATTTTTCAGATTGGATTCAAAATGGCTGACTGGCGGCCATTTTGTTTTAATGAATGGGCTTCTAGAGCCATATCTCTGACATGCTTTGACTGATTATGTTCAAATTTTTAATATTCATTTATATATTATGTTATATATATATACATGTATTCAAAATGGCTGATTTTGTTTTAATTAATGCTGTTCCAGAGCAATATCTCTCAATTTGAGCAAGTACTCGTTTGACAATCAGATACAAGTGTCAATCATTTTAATGTTAAACAATCATCATTAATCATATTCCTAACATGGTTATATTCTAGCTATATTACTATAAACAAAACTATATATCTTAAATTTGATAACTAACGGGGACTGTGCCATGCATGGCTGTGTTACATGACATAAGTGATGACCAATCAAATATTGATTAATGTGCATGTGTTCTACACTCCAGAAAAAACTTTCCCAGGACTTCAGGGCATATAAGTACAATATTAGTCCCTTGAAGAAAACATGGTTCTTCTCCAGTGACAATTTTGTGCTATTAATGTAAAATACTGATACAACAAATTTAGCATTTAATAGTAGTGGGCTAAAAATAGTTTTTATAAACCTGTCATTTCTTCATTAAAATTAACCTCAAAATTCTTTGATCAAAATCTTGACTGTCAACTGATTTGTTTTTGTGATATGATAATTTAACAGCATTTGTGTTAAAGAAATTCATGATGTTCACTGTGACTTGCTGTGCTATGAAATGTCCACTGCTACAAAAGTCACCTTGACTTGCTCTCTCAAAGATCTCAATGTAATTTCAGTTTTCCCTGAAAAATGTTACTTGTAACAAAATGAAGCGATATACAAGAATTTCCATTTCATCTGTAATCAGTTTAAGTCACTAGGCATAAATACTGAGGATTTGGGCACCTGAAAAGCATTGTCTGTGAAATACTCATAGAAATTGCTTATTTATTGTTTTTTTATGTCCATAATTTTCTCAAAAATATACACAATATGTGACATGGAAATTACTATTCAACGAAATGTTAATTTTGAATTTTATATTATATTTAAATCTAATTAAGTACCCATTTACTTACCATTTTGTATACTAGTAGTAAAGGTCATGAATATGAATGTGCAGATGAATATTTATGACTCATTAATAAAATCCTGAAAAATAATGAACACTGAATATTAATGAATCACGAATAATAATGAATATTGTGAATATTAATGACCCATGAATAATAATGAATATTGTGCATAAATGTGATAGGATAATTTTGTTAGTAAGGTTCTTTAACTTAGTTAGATATCGATATTTTAGAAGAGGTGTCGTTTTTAAGGACAGATGACGGTGGAAAAGTGGAACTGGAGTTATTAGTGCAAGCCCCATCTCAACATAGGTAGGTACACCCCATGAACTGAGGGCAGAATCTCAATAAAATTTAAACCAGTGTTTTTTGCATAATTTTCGTACTTTGTTCATATCTTGTTTATATCCATGTAGTGAACATTGATACTCAACACATTGTGTTCTGCCGCAAGGTTCTATATGCTAACCCTTTGAGAACGTCAAAGTCAAATTTTGTCAACGTCAGAAATTCAATCCTAAATAATTTTTTTCATATTTTTCATAAGACCTGTAGCCCAGAGGAAATGACCATTTGGTTAAAAAAAAATGAATTACCAAATAATAACTAAAAATAGATAAAATTTCACACCAAAATGTTGGCATTCAACGTGATGGATGAAAACAAAAACTCATCTTTTGGCCACTTGAAGTAGTCATTGCGAAAAAAAGTTTCTCGTGTATTTACAAATTCACAACTAAAATTAAGTAGTACTTGTACTGTATTAGGTCCAAAAATGTTTACCGGACTTTTATTTTTTTGGTGTTTGCTGAAATATTGAAATAAATGAAAGAAGAACAGCAAATAAAAAGCACCTTTCTGTTAACCCCCCCCCCCCCCCCCGATCTCAGGACTAGAAGCATGTTTCATAATTCTCTTGGTTCAATGCAATTGCCTTCTTTGTTGAAATTTACCCATAATGCACTATGCACATAAAAACGTTTCAACATTGCACTTGTTCGTATTCAGTTTGTGTGCAACAAATGTAAAAAAAAAAATGAACTCGTGGCTGGCGTATTTTTCTCGTTGTCTTCACTCTTTATTTAATCACATGTGGTTTCTCTTTTCCCTTCTATCTTCTTTCTATATCAATACTCATCACACAATTATATACCACAGTGACAAATCAAGGTAAGGCAAGCCAGAAAACCAGTCGGTGACAAGGCATCCCATTTCAGTGCACATTCTCAGAATATCGAATGCTTTTGGTCGTTTGTATTGTAGTGTCGCATACTTTTGAGATTCTGTTAAATTTTCTTTTCCATTCACTCGCTTAATTTATCAATTAGAAAGATGAGATAACCAGGATATCACATTTGTGACTCTTCAATATTTATTAAATTTTTGATTTATATATGTAGTAACTTTCATTTGTTCCTCACCAAAGGATTGGAAGCAATCCTCGTGGGGGGGGGGGACTACGTCACAGACGTTCCACGTTTCTAAGACACGCACCACTGTACCATGTATTTCTATGGGCTCTGCGTGAGCTGCTGTGCAACACTGAAGAGCCGGTGAAAATAGCTAAATTCGAGAAAACAGCACAAAATCAACTTTGAAGTAATCTGGACAACCAAATTTATATATGTTGCATATGCAGGGGTAATCTTTTCACACTATTCGGGGAGTCTCAACATTTTTTTTTTCCAAAGTAAGTTTTCGGCCTTTGTTTTCACAGTGATGGCTGCCAGGCGGTGAAAATGCCCGGATGTCCGCCCCGGAAAATAGAAAATTACTACACTTCATTTCACTATCTGTAATGAATGTATTGTTCACTTTTCCTATTACAATTTAAAAAATAAACAACTTTGTTCCGTCTTCACACGACTCTTGAGGCTATGTGCATTCTATATTTTTTACAGACAAAGAACAGTCACTCGAGGACTGACAAAAGGTGGAGAGGAAGGACTGAAAGTCGCTATGGAAAAACAGATGACGCGATATGACGACAATCTGTTGTGTCTGATTAAACAGTTTCTGACGGAAGAAAGGGGAGGTATTCGCCAGGCAATGGTGTTGTGAGAAATCGCTTACACAGGACTCTCATCAAAAATGATATATTACCACGACAACCACCTTTTGGTAACTGGTTAAACTTATCATTAATAGACCTGTCATTTCGAATGGTGCTATGAGACATTACCTTCAGTTGATGCCGCACAGCAAAATGTTCAATAGAAATATTTTCAAGAGATTTATCTCTTGTGTACATGACATTGTTGTTATATGCAAGTATATTTCCACTTTGACCAAATGTATCCTTATAAGGAATGACAAAAAATAAAGATAGTGGATGGTCTTCAAAACAAAATAGTTTGCGGATTAGTTTGATTTCAACACCTTACCCAGTCTAGGGAGGCAATTAATAACAGTACCTGTGAGTAATTTTGAAAAATCAGGAAAAAAAATCATAATAGTGCATAGGTGGAATCAATGTGGAAGTTTTCTCTGTTACTGTACATATACCGGGTAGTTACACCCCAGATTTGTTTACTTCTTGATGAGCCACCCATAATATCAAATGGTCAAAACCCTTTGCCTTGAAGGCCCAACTCATATGCCCCGGGGGAGGCGTGGCTATGCTAATGAGTGTGAATAATCACTTGCATAGCCTATGACGCATCCTGTTTCAGCAGTCCAACATCACGTGACTTTGATTGACAGTAGTTAATTATTCGAGATTAGTAGCGCGCCCCTTTCCCCGGTTCGTGTTTTTTACTTTTACCCGCCAAAATCTCAGCTCGTACACTACTTATTGTCATAAATACTACACACAGTCACATACATCCACTTTGGCACAACATAATCAACCTGTAAGTTTGAAAAAACATGTCTATGCTGGAGCTGTTTACTACAGCGTGACAAGCAAGGAAATAATCCTTATTGTTTAGGAGCGTATTTATAGTATACCTGGGCCTTTAACTATGATACATTATGCGATATATCAAAATAAATATATCAAACCCAGAAATCCATGTTTGTTGCATATCTGCCCCCCACAGTACATTAACAACCACTCAACATCAGTGAAACCAAAAACTGAAAAGCAGAGACTTTAATCTGATTCAAGTTTAGGAGTGTACATATATTTAGATGTAACAGCGGTGACAACTTTACTAACATTCTTGAAATGCAGTACAATTCAAACTTGTACCAACATACCAGTGTAAGTTTGAAATCAGGCCAACAAACGTTTCACACAGCTAACATGGTTATACACACAAGACTACTGTGTGTAATTTTTTTATACATCAATACATTATATGGAAATTATGAATATTAACTACATAATTTGATGAAGAAACATTACAAGAGAACAATAATAATAATGCTATTATTAATAGCAGCGTAATCTGTTGACTATTTTGAGCTGAAAAAATAATGAAATTTACATTAACTGGGCTTTTTAACTCAAAAAATAGTGCAAAGAATTGAATTTCAGTTACTCAAAAAAAACATACAGAATACTTAGTGCCTTCTATCGTTGTATACAGTAAGACTATGTAGTTGAGTGATATTGCGATGTAATTAACCAAATTTTTTGTGGCTGATCAGAGCAGTGCACTGGACTCTTTTGCAGCAGATCCCACTGTTGAAAGACTGTTGGCTAGTGTACATTTCAAACAATCTCCCCCTTATATTTTCCAGATTAGTAAATAGCTCTTAAATTAAGTTTGGGCAAATCATAATCGCCTAAGAGAAGTTTCGGTTTTTTTTCCGTACATGCCGAATATGTAACAATCCTAAGTCTTGGTGGCTATTACAACTTGCCAGACAACAAATGGAAATCTAAAATATTTCCAAAAATTGAAACAATCTAATTGGTTATGAATAAAAAACTTATTGGGCTTCTGTCGAGTGATCATTAGAATATTGCGCAACCTTGAAAGCAATTACCAGTAAATATTGTGTCATATTTTGATTTCTGTGATGAGTGTCCAGTGCAATCCCACGAACCATCCAAATAAGGACTCTGAAACAGTGGAAACCATGGCTATATTCTATTCTAAATATACAAGAGTTACACTTCAAAGCCAACAGGTCGTCACCTGGGCACGCACGCCAAGCAACGATAACAATGCAAACTAAAAATGCAAAGGCTCATAGGTAGACGTTTGTTTGTAAACAATGACACGCTATGACTGTCTGTCGTATGCGCAGGTGACGACTCCCCCACTTTAATTACAATACACAACAAGCCTGTGATTGTCCGTTGCATTAATCAGTGCATTGAGACTGGAACTACTTTTATCAACTGAAGCATTGAAATGTTCGTGTCTATCACGAGGAGGTAGACTGTTCCACTGCCTGTACCGGTGTCGTGTCAATAGGTGCTGCCGATTCTGGTGACATTGCCGTCAGCACAGGTAGCGGTGCTGGTCCAGGAATTGTGGATACGCCAGAGAAATTAATGGGCATAGGTGCTGGAACTGTTGATGAGTATGTGGATGATGGTATATTGAACTGAGCTGGCATTGACATTGGGGGCATTGATAGCGGTGCTGGAAATGATATAGGGGTGATAGTTGATGTTGGGTCGATGCCGGTTGCGGTCACACTGGTAGTTTGAAAATTCAGTAATGCCTCAGGCGATGGTAAGGAAACGTTTAAATTTGGCAGTCCCGGTATATTAGGTAAACTTACAGGAGCTGAAATGAAAAGAAACAGTTTATAAATATATAATCAATAAATAAAGTTTTACTTGTATATAAGGCAAATCAGATCCAATTAAAAGTTACTACAAAAATTTAATTACCAGAATTTTAACTTTATTCTAGCATTTGTTTTTGTGGCAAAAGTATTTTGCTATCCTGGAAAATGCATTTTTTTATTTATTTTTTTACTCCCGTGTGCGAAGCACACATATATGCTCTGAACTGATGCACAGAATTGATTAGTTTAAGGTAAAAATATGTGCATATTAATTACCTAATTTGCATAACAATCAATTTTCGGCTTTTCCACTGATATCTCAAGTACTAATCATCACATTTCAATGAAACCTCATACATGGATGTCATAGGACACTTCACAGACCTAATAGTTTTTAGGGTAATATAAGTACATACTAATAACCTAATTTGCATGATTGATTTTTCAGCTTTTGATATTTTAAGTAGTTATTACATTTCAATGAAACTTGGTACATACTCAAGGACTATGCAGAGATCAATTGTTTATGGGTAAATATTTGTGCATATTAATTATCTAATTTGCATAATTAGTTAATTTTCAGCTTTTCCACTGATATCTCAAGTACTAATTTTCACATTTCAATGAAACTTGGTACATAGATCCCTAGGATATGTAGAGATCTGATTAGTTTTGGGGTAAATATTTGTGCATATTAATCACTTATTTTGCATAATTAGTTAATTTTCAGCTTTTCCACTGATATATTTCAAGTACTAATAATCATCACATTTGGATGAAACTTGGTACATATATACTCTAGGACAATAGACAGATCGGGTTAAAATCTGTACATATTAATTTCCTGATTTGCATAATTAGTTTCCCGCTCTCCCAAATATCTCAAGTACAAATAATTTTGAATTAATTTTGAATGTGTTTCCAATACTCTCAGCACACAGGAGTTCTTTCTAAGCTTTCGTTGATTTTCCAATTTAGTATTTTTTTTTCATAATATGCTTAATGGAAATCTCCCCCATAATGCACTAATATATGCTTATTGACAACCCTAATTTGTTGTGGTATTATATGGAGTGAAACATTTCAGATAAAAATGACCTAATTTCCCATTAATCATCTTTGTTGATCAAAATATTTGAAAAAAATGATATGGGTTTATGTTGTGAAAATTGACTTTGAAAATTGATTGATATTTCATCATTATTATTATTAGGTAGATACTTACTTGGGGGAGAGACTTGCAATGGGGCAACATTAGAAATAACTGGTGCACTGGTGGACGCATTGGTCATGCCTTCACTACTGCTAATATTAGCACTGTGTGTTGGTATAACAGGTACCGTTGTCGTACCACCGGCCGTCAGGGGATTAGGTGCCACTGTCCCAGGTGGGAGCGCATTCATAGACAGTGCTGCCATGCCGACTTCAACACCGGCCGTTGTTGTTGTTGTGTGTGTTGGAGAACCGGACAGAGAAACCTATAATTTGGAATAAAATTATTAGTTTATTTTTGGAAACACTGAGATGGAAGTCTGCACATGGTTGACTTTCTAGCACAGCAAGTAATTAGGAGGTAGCAGTTGTGAAGTAGACAAGTTTTTACCCATCGTCTGAACAATATTTTGGCAAAAAGTTCCCAATGATCCCTATTCCTAAGTAATTTGAGGATTTAACAACAGATGAAGAGATTGTGACTTGGTTGTGTGAAAGAAGCGCACCAAACATCTGCCGTAAAAATTGAACAACTTGATTTTGAACTCAATTTTTTTTATTTCGTAACTCGCATCGAAAGGCCGATCTTTGGCGGGGGAATATTGCGTCTCAATACCCTTACTGCATCGAAATTGACCGTCATCAAATGTGTACAGCACATTATTAGGCATGGAAATATCCACCAAAATATTTTCGCGTTTGTCAAATCCCACGCGGTGTTTGTCACCACTACGACACTATGACCTTTGTTAGTCCTGTTTTTTGGTGCGATTTCACACAAAGCGGAATCTCGCAGTGAGCGGAAAATGGTCTATGTTATTTGTTATGTATCTTTCATCATTATAAATTAGTAATATTTTAAAAGACTGGACATAAATGTGTTTTTATTAAGCCAAGTATATCACACATTTACTTATTGTGTACTGGAAACTCAATTACTCAGAACTGAGAGTCAGATAGACATATCACCTCAAGTCAGGCATACAGATGCTATATACTGTAGAATACTTTATTTTACCTTGAAATTTATTTTTCGCTACAGGGATGATTCAGTGAAAATACCATCCAACGAATATACTTTTTTTCCTATATTTCACATTTAACTCATCAAAAATGAGTGAAAATTAATTCCATGCAAAGCGCGTCAAAAAAAGCGTTTTCAGCTAAAATTTATTCCAGCTAAAATAAAGTATTTCACAGTATATGGATTTACACATCTGTCTGAATTAATGTAAGAGGGGAATTACCATTTAGAATCTGGGACCATGGCAATAAAAGTGATATATTCAACAAAACTTGCATGAAATATATTGATAAAATAAATATCCTAAAAGCAGCAGGTTCAAATATCAATTTAATGCAATCTTCACCCACTTCAAACACCTGATTGTAATTTACATAAAGCAATACTGTTTATTTACTTACCTCACTGAAACCATCTGCTGTAGCAGGGGGTGGTGGTGAGGGAACTGGCTGTACTGGGGGTAGCGAAGTGGGAATATCCATTCCAATTTCAAATCTACTTGTAGGAATCCTATGTAAATAGCCATATCCAATGCCACAGCCAAGACTGAAATCAAAAAGGGAACACGGCTATTAAAATAGATCAGATTTCCTACACTTTTACAATGCACTTTATGTTGTGGTTTTTAAAGAATTGGTAAAACATCTGTTGAAAAAGATGATTTGTGAGTAATTTTCAAATATCATTTCATCTATAGAAATCATAGCATATTTTAAAACTCATTTGGTGACACATGGTGTAACAAATCATGTTATGACACAGAACTTAAAATGAATGCATGTCAATATGTGCAGCATTATGTATACACTCAAGTCTAGGCAGGTCTCGAACAGCACTCATTAAAGCAAAATGGTCACTAGTTAGCCATTTTGAATTTGATCCGAAAAACACAAATTATGTGCATCAAGGCTGTCCATGCACAGCCAAAATCCGGAATATCAGAAATTTGGAAATACTAGATTTTGATGCATTTTTTTTTACATTAAAATGGCTGCTATTCAGCCAATTTGAATTGGATCAATTGAGTTTTATCATGTAGCTAAGATTGCTGACTAATTTGCATTCCAAGCCTAGCTCACAGCTTCCCCACAACAATACATGTACGTTCCACCAATAATACGTTCAAACAATGCAAAAGCGAGGCTTGGACAAACTTTATCAGTTCATTCATACCTGGTGGTATATATATGTACAGGGGAAAAGTACAAGTCCCTTTTTTCAGACAGTGGTTCCTAGAATTGAGAGATGTACTAATATTTTTACCTTCCTTGGCCTCCCCAGTTTGAATTCGGTGTGAGTGTGACCTCTCGTACGCCATCAGTTTCGATATTGTAGACATACAACTTAAGTGGTCTTCCTTCATGTGATTCAATCAGAGAAAACAGGTCTTCTGACTAAAAAATAACAATTATACTATATATATTAGGCATTGCAAAAAAGAACGCATTCTTTTTCAGAAGATAAATCTTTATACAGCGACACACCGATACTAAATCAGGTAAAGATTGGTAAGGTAACAAGGCTCACCTAGTGTGGTACTTGGGACATTAAGTAAATTATAGGATTGGCCAACCAATTAGAGTGTACCTTATAAAAAAAAGGGCTACAGTACAGTTCTCGCGGAAGCTTTGGCTTCACTTCAGCTTCACCTTCGCTTCAGCATCGCATCATTATGGCATTGTTATGGCTTCAGCATCGCTTCAATGTCGCGACATTAAAAAGTTAGGCGATTATCGCTTCGCTTCATTGTGGCCTCATTATGGCGACAATGTGGCATCAGCATCGCTTCATCAAACAAAGAAGTACTGTACTCATTTCCCCCAAACCTCTTGACCGCTTCCGCTTTTGACCGGTCAATTTCCGTTTTATTTTCGACCGTGCAACAATTCGGACTACTAAAAATTTTCTGGTTTTCATAGATCACGGTTACTAGTTTAGTAACCGTGCATAGATGTTGAACCACCGTCAAAAGTTCAAATACTTTTTGTTTTAACTATCTATAATTATATGCACGCAATCTGACCCTTTGACCTAGATTTGGCTGGGATTGAATATTTTATTTTAAACAATATTCCGACGTGACTCACTGCTACAAAATGTATTCAACAGAAGTACAACATGGTTGTCTGGGTTTCTTTTCCTGATTGTGTTGAGTTTACGATTTGTATAATTATTGTTGTTTCCCCCCAAGCAGAAGACAAGCCGAAGGACCATGAAGCTAAATAGAATTCCCACGCATGGACGTGGACTGAGTGAAAGAAAATATTTCTAAGGCTAAAATAAAATGACCTACTATTACACATCTTTGTGTATTTGTCAATTTTGTATATATTTGGTATGACCGATGATCGTAAATACCTAGAAAAATCTCGTCTTT